TGCTTTTGATTTGCTGCTCGAAGGTAGCTGGTAGAAGAGATGTTTTCTGTCGCAGAGAAGGGAAAAAGTGCCTCTATGCTAGTTTTACTCTTAAATAACTTAAAATGAATTTCATGCTTGGTTTAAAGAGTTCGTAATATGATGCTGAGGCTCATGCCAGTGTTTATGTCTGTTGAACAAACCAAGTGATGTGCGCTGCCTCCATGCGGTGTTCGTAAAATCACGCTTTTCGCATCTTCAGGGTCTTCCCTTCACTTCAGAGCCGGATGTCAGTGCCGTCTGTTCAGGAAGCAGAAAATACCACAAAAGAACTTCGTCATGTCCTTCTGGCTGATATAGTTGAGAAGGACCGTAACTGTAAATCTTTCAGTTAGCTTTTGGGTTTTATTCTGCTTGTTTTTATTAAATATGGCACTCTTGACTGATGACGTAGAAACGCGCCGCACTGATCAGCAAAATCAACTTCGTAAAAGAATACGCCAAAATGGCCTGACCATGAAAGTGATGGAGAACCAATATTCCAACGTTGACCAACAATCGTTTTTCCTTTTGCCATATGTAAAGGAATATGAATAGCTCTCCTTAAAGGTTTGGAAGCAATGGCGATCCTGCAGGCAATCCCGTAAATATTTCTGTCGTTTCTGATTATGATGTTGCGTAGGCAAATCAAATCTGTACCGTTCACCGTGTTGTTGCATTTGTGGATCTGTTGAGCTGGATGGGTTCATGCTTTCTTTCAATTTCCGAGTGTTAAGGAAGAGGCCGGCTTTTGTTGCTTTGGCCAATAAAAGAACTGAGGAGGTGCACTCGGCTTCCTATCGTATCATCTGCGACCTGTTCAACAAACTCTGTGGCCGGATATCATTAACTGCGCCTTGCATCAAAAATGAGACCTTTTCATTGCCATGGTGAGCATGCCTTTGACGAACAACGTCTGGAGCAGTCTTTAATGGCAAAAGCTAAAGCACATCATCTGGCCATTCCGCAATCTATAGGGAACAACTCTGATGGCGCTTTTTCGACTATAAGAACAGAAATAGTTTCTGCGAGTGGAAATTAACCAGTTATCTCAAAGCGTTTCAAGACTGGACCATATTGCCGAACGATGTACTGAGTCAAATACAGTACCAACATCCAGGAGAAAGGTGAACCACCGTAGTTGTTATCACTTGTATTGCTCGGTAATTTTACTGTACGTCTAAACTTGGTTAAAGTAGGAGTGCTCTATCCGGAAGCCTACCTGATTTATGCAGTTTTTGTTAGCCGTCTGTCTCACTTTTCCTGAGATGGTCAGTGGACTAGTTTCCGTCGAGGTAGCAGCAGCGTAACAGCACGATACCTAGGAAAGTGGTTTGCTCGCCAGCTTCAAACACAGGAGCAACGACTGCACATTTCCGTTTGGGAACTTTTTGTGTTTCATGTTTGGGGCAGAAGAATTAGAGCTTTGCTGACCTGTGCGTTCCTTTACACCTGTTTGATTGATTAATTCCAGGAAGATTAAACCCACTTTGCAGCTTTATCTGTTTTGAGATGCAACAGTGTAAGGCGGGATTGATTAGCACGCCCCCACAATTGGCAAATTGTTAACAGACACTACGGTAAAACTGGAGCCCACTATTATCGAAAATGTTAGAAAATCTATTCGTCGTTTCTCCTTATGTTATCGTTGTTAATCTCTGAGTTACATGGATGAGTGTGAATCGAACGATGAGTACCTGCTGGCTGATGATGCCCTGAAAAGAATTTTTTGGGTGCATATAGCAACACATTGCGTAACGGCGTCATAACTCACTGAATCATCTTTATGAACGGAGCGCGGGTGTTTGTGTGCTACAGCAAAATCAATGACGAACAATTAAGCACTCGTGAGACACTCTTAGAAAATCTATTCAGATGTCAAATGATTGTTCTGACTTTGTCCATCACTTGTCGATATACCCCATCCGCGAATAGCTAGTCTTGCGTGCAGTGTCACTTTGCCTACGGAAATTCGCTCCTACGCAACATCAGAGTGACTAATTACGAGGCTGCAGAAGTGCGTGCTTAAACATATTAATTGTATCGTCATTACCGTATTCCGACAGAGTCAATTTTCTCCGAACGTTGCCAATTAAATGGCATTATTGAATGTTTTTCTCAGGGTTAATGCAGAAGGCAAGAAACTGTTCCGCCCTATGAAGAACGAGATTGCAATTACTTTACAACAAAAACGGCTTCTTCGTTATGCTCAAACGGTTAAAAATAACGACTCTAAAGGCAGTCAACATGAACTTTTGCTGCCGTGAGACGCGATGAAGTATGACTTGCGTTTAACGCAGTGATACTCAAGAACGGATATATTTTTTCGTTTGTGATAGGCGACACAGAACCAAAATTCGCTGTTATGATTCTGGCCATGCTGATAATTAAAATGTTTTGCGTCGAGTTTGACTGTCGCTTCACGTTCAGTGCTTGACTTAGCAGTGGGAAACGGAACGTTCCAACTTCCACAAAAGTTGTATCTAGATATTGGCGATAAATCCCCGTCTTTGCATACAATGAAGATTTTTTGAAGAACGGTAAGAGGAACGTCTTGCAAATCAACAGGAGAGGGTTGTTAGGTTTGCTTTTTATGATCAAATCATTTTTTCGACAGCAACGTGTAATTTATGCACTAGATTTGTGGAGCAGCGTTGTGAATTTTCACACGGCAGCGTTTTGAAATTTTATTCTTGTAAGTTGTTAATAGATCAAGATTAAATAAATGGGAAAATGAGATAGGCTACTAACCATTGAAATATCAGTCTTCCATACAGTTTCATGATGAGACCGTTTCCAGGAGCTTTCTTTGCGTGAAATTAATAGTAGGGCACTGATCTCCGCTTTCATCCTGTCAGTCAGAAGTACGTACGGACTTTAAAGGCAGGGTCGACAATTGGAAAATCCGCATCACAGCCATTTTTCAGTGAACCACAGTTTCGCAAGGGTTTGTTTCATTACGTCATTTCGGTTATGAAACAGCTAACGATATGATATCCATTTTTCAGATGTAAGCGTAATAGGAAGGTGGAGGAATTTGCAATTTATACGGAAAA